AAATATACACAGTACACACGCATATATTATGTAAACAAAAACTTTTATTATTTTGGATGCGATTAATCGTTTGACAGCACTACTCAAAACCAATGATCTGATTGACTTCAATGTTGGCATGCAGTGTCTTTGACTGACTGAATTATCATAATCAATTATGAAATGTATCTTGAGAAATATGGCTTTTGACTGCAATATGTCAAAAAAGGAAAGAAAAAAACTCTCCAAAGAGTGAACTGTCCTTTGGCATTTTTAATTGGATTGACAAATGGGGAAAAAGAGAATAAAACAACCAAGAAAAGCAATTGGCAAGTGTTTTTTTTTTTTTTTGAAAATGGGCCTTTGAAAAATATTTATTAATTCCCTATTCTGTTTTACAGCATAAACTGATTAGATCATTTAAAAAGTGATTAATTTCCATTTTTATGGTTTGAATTATTTAATTTATTGTTACTTTTTCAACCTTTTCATGGTGACACATGAAAAGCCCAAGTGTTTGTGCATGAAAAAGTAATTACTTTCCCAATTGTATCTCAGCTTTAAAACAGGTTTTCCATATGACAATTATAATTTCACCTTTCAGAGTGCCACAGGGTTTCTGCAATATCTGGATGTATCTGTTGGTAAAGAGGTCGCAGCCATCTGCACAAAAATGGGACGGCTAGACGTGATGGCACAGAATCCCCATAATGCAGTAATTCACCTGGGCCACCCAAATGGCACGATTAGTTTGTGGTCGCCCAACCAGAAAGAGCCACTTGTAAAGATGTTGTGTCATCGGGGTGCTGTTCGTTCCTTAACAGTGGATAAAACTGGCACGTGAGTATCACAAAGTCCTGGGGGTGGGGTTCACTTCAGTACCTGATTTAAGGAATTAGACCAGCAGTCTCAGAGGGATGTTACAGTTGAGCTGACGGATGACTCGAGTTTGGCCATTTTTAAGAACGAACAAAAAATCCCAGTGTGAACATTACTTAAAAACGGAGACATTAATTAAGTTTTTTTTTATATGTATTTACAGATGAAGATTGTTGTTGGCAGTTATGTGATTTGGGCTTTGGCTCTTCAGCATGTATAAATAAAATTTTTTGAGGCGACTAATAACATCAAAACTAGGGCTGTATGACATTTTATGATATTTTGATTTTCTGAGATTATTGCAATATGACTGAATACAAGAATTTTCACCAGATTGAATATCTTTTTTGGATAGAATGACTCATTCTCGACTTAGTAGGGTGATTGTTTTGAGAAGTGCATTTACATAGAAAGCTAAATACATACATGCATACAAAAGGTTTTTACTTGTCCTGTCAATTTTCACTGGCCCAGCCACAAGGAAAAAAAATAAGAAAATAAGTTTCTATCAATATATGCAATTTCTTAGACATGAACAAACCATGATTTAATTTTACCCTCAGAATGAGTCTTCAATGAAGCTATGAGGCTAATTAAATGAACCATTTAGCTACAATTTGGAGGTATTACTGGTGTTTCTTGTGTTGGAGATTCCCTTCTGTGGTTTGTTTATTCTGTGCACATCTGAAGTGACGTCTTGGTGGAAAGCCAGTCACAATGGACAGTTGGAGACACAGCTTTGCAGCAAATCTTAACATAGAAAACAAGACTCTTGTTGGGAAAAAAACAAGAAAAGAAAGTGAGATGAGAATAGTTAGATAGCTTGCTTGTTCATGTTGCTGGATTAGACCTCTCCACTCATGATTTAATGGGGTCCTAACTAATTACACATTGTTTTAGCTTGGGGTGTTATGTTTCTCCCCTCGCATAAATCAGTCTTCTTAGTCACATGGTTCCTAGTTTTCCTGCACTTGTAGAATACAACTTAGACATGACTTCTGTAATGAGAGTATGATACAATATATCAAGAATTGATTGATATCAACAATTGAGAAATAATTTATAATTCACACCCATACCAAACATCACATACTTCCTTTAAACCTGCCTACATACCTATGTATTTTATGCTATACATTCATCCATATGTGCCAAAAAGTAATAAAAACATAAACATTACATTCTAAAACAAACTAAACAAAACAAAAAATACAGGTAAGTATATAACTGTAAAATGCAATTTATTCACTGGGTAAAATTGTTTTTTTTTAAGGCTTTAAAAAGCACCTGTGAAAGCACCAGACAAGCAATCCGTGTTAAACTATATGCTTATGAGTTTGTTTGAAATGCTTCATACACAGCGTTTTTTATGTTTAGGGCAACTTGGGTTGTGCACTTTTCCAGCAGCAGCTCATTCTGTGTCGTGCTGTCCATATGCATTCTTTTTTTTTTATTGTTGAATTTGTTGCAGCCCTAGATCATACCTTACTTTCCCTTTATTTATACCAGTAAGATAATTTGTTTATTGCAGGTACATGGTGACGTCAGGTCTGGACAGGAAGCTAAAGGTGTATGATATCAGAGCTTTTAAACCTCTTCACTCCTGTTTCCTCCCTGCTGGAGCCTCTTGCTTATCTCTAAGCCAGAGAGGACTACTCAGTGCTGCTACTGGAGATATTGTACAGGTAGTGTACATATACACACAAGTAAAACTTTCTGGATAAACATTTGTTGTTGTTGCTTGCAAAGAGCATAGTCCTAACCCAACCCTTTAAAGGGGGCATGAAATGGACGATCAAAATGTTCTCGATATTTACACAAAAAGAGGTTACTCTATAGTAAAAACATACTGCAAGTTTCAGAACTCAAAACTAACTCTGCAGTGTAAAATAAGATTTATTCTTTTCTAACTGCACCTCCAAAAACTTTGCATAGCCTTTCTAAAAATCAAAGTTTAAATTAGAAATGTCCTCTGAGGCAAGGCAGGTAAGTACATTTATTTTTATGTCAAACCAGCGTTTAATGCTATTAGGACACCAAGCGTATCATTGTTTGAGTGTTGTTAATACAATGGGTTCATACCGGAGTACAAGCAGCATCTTTTGTAATATGACAAATAATACTTTTAAAAATGTATATACCTTAAATTAAGCAAGCAAAAGCAATTGCCATGCTGAAAAACACTGTTGAAGTCGTGGTTGCGTTGTTTCAATTTCTTACTTTTGGATGTGGCTCAAACATATACGGCTCAGTTCATAATGATTGCCATCCGGTGTATCAAAACACATGACATGCTGTAAAGGAGGGCGTGAAAACGGTGCAGTGAAGTTAGCCAATCACAGTAGTGGTTGAGTGTTTTTCACTGATTGAGATGAGGAAAATTATCTTTTTACAAATATTGGAGTTTTTTTGGTACAAAACGAAAACTTTATAAACTAACCTTAAGATACATAAAAATCTGAAACTGCATTTCATGACCACTTTAAAGGGGTCATATGACGTTGCTAAAAAGAACACTATTTTGTGTATTTGGTGTAATGAAATGTTTATGCAGTTTAAGGTTAAAAAAACACATTATTTTCCACATACTGTACATTATTGTTTCTCCTCTATGCCCCGCCTTTCTGAAACGTGTCGATTTTTACAAAGCTCATCGGTCTGAAAAGCGAGGTGTGCTCTGATTGGCCAGCTGTCCAGTGCGTTGTGATTGGCCGAATAGCTCAAGCGTGTGGCGACAGCAATACTACAGCGAGAATAAAAGTTACGCCTTCTTTCTTTGCACGAACATTTGGGCGGCGTTATGCAAATCTTCCCACATAGTGATGTAGATATGTGGGGGCGTGTTAGAACGAGCCGTTTTAGGGGGGCGTGGTTGACTCTTAACTTTTATAAAGAATATCTCTTTGGATTTGAGACTTTAGTCTTTGCAACTTTACAGATCTTCTTTATGCACCAAGAGCTTGTAACACTCCAAAGAGAAAGGAAAAATTGAAATCGCATCATATGACCCCTTTCACCCATCCCTGAAATCAGACAAGTACCATTTCATTGTAATTATACCGAAACAGAAGCAGTGGGAAATTAATGCTTCACAACTGGCATTAACCTTACAGGGATATTGCCCCCCAAAAATAAAGAATGTCATCATGTACTTCCTCTCAGGTTGTTCCAAACAGAGTTCTTTCTTCTACTGAGCACAAAAGAAGATATTTTGAAGAAAGTTGTTAACCAAACTTTCTTCAGTTGTTAATCAGTAGCATTTTTCCCCTATGCTTTGGAAGTCAATAGCTACTGTCAACATGCTTCAAAATACCTTCTTTTGTTTAACAGAAGAAAGAAACTTGTACAGGTTTGGGACAACTTTAGAATGGGTTAATGATGACAGATTTTTTATTTTTGGGTGAACTATCCCTTTAAGATGGAAGTGTCCATTTATCTCTAATTTACTTAAGCCAACAGCACTCAACTTAAAGGGATAGTTCACCCAAAAATGAAAATTTGATGTTTATCTGCTTACCCCCAAGGCATCAAAGATGTAGGTGACTTTGTTTCTTCAGTAGAACACAAACGAAGATTTTTAACTCAAACCGTTGCAGTCTGTCAAAGTGCTGGAAAATCTTGAAAATGCACCTTGAAAGTGCTTGAAAAGTGCTTGAATTTTATTTTGGAAAAGGTGTAAGAACCCTGGTGTGTGTGTGTTAAGAGTCAAGTGTTGTTTTGGACTCCATTGACTTTCATGGTATGGACAAAAACAGTCAAAACATTCTTTGTGATTTTTATTTTTGGGTGAATTATCCCTTTGAGGGCACTATCCATACAAATGGGATGCACTTGAAAGGTTCTGTACCATTACATGCACACTTAATAGATGCATTTTGGCTCAAAATGATCCTTGTTAATTTATCTACTATAACTTTGGTTAAAGCTTAAAGGGATAGTTCACCCAAAAATGAAAATTTGATGTTTATCTGCTTACCCCCAAGGCATCAAAGATGTAGGTGACTTTGTTTCTTCAGTAGAACACAAACGAAGATTTTTAACTCAAACCGTTGCAGTCTGTCAGTCATATAATGGAAGTGAACGGGAATCACGGCTTTGAGAGTCAAAAAACCTTACACAAACAAAACCCAATTAAACCCTGCTGCTCGTGATGATACATTGATGTGAGAAGACACGAAACGATCGGTCTGTGCGAGAAACTGAACAGTATTTATATAGTTTTTTACCTCTGATGTACTGCAATGTCTGAACTGTCCTTAGCGCGTCCTGAGCGTGTTCAACAGCCGGCGTGTGACGCGTCTTCTTCTTGCTTTACGGCGGATCGCATGCTTATAAGTGCATTACCCCCACCTATCTCTCAAGTGGACCA